AGCAAATCAGTATAAAATTAAAATAGTTTCCATTTGCAAAACAGTTATATAAACAAAATAATGGTGATTAGGAAGTAAATTGATAGAATCATAGAACTACAGACTTGGAAGAGACCCTAAGAGCTATCTATTTCAACCCACTGCCGGAACACACAATCAAGGCACACCCAACAGATACCCAGCCTCTGTTTTAAAATTCTACCACACTCCAGGGCAGCTTATTCCACTGTCAAATGGCTCTTACCATCAGGAAATTCTTCCTAATCTTCAGATGGAATCTCTTTTCCTGTAGTTTGAATCCGTTGCTCCATGAATTCATCTCTGGAGAAGCAGAAAATAAGCTTACTTCCTCTTCAGTATGACATATTGTGGAAGTTATCCTATTATAATGATTTTAATTGTTTGACTAATGCACTGTGATTTTTCAGCAAGCCTTTTTTCATGTCAGGAGTGACTTGAGAAACTGCAAGTCATTTCTGGTGTGAGAGAATGGGCTGTCTGCAAGGAAGTTACTGAAAGGATGCCCGAATGTTTGATGTTTTACCATCCTTGTGGGAGGCTTCTCTCATGTCCCTGCATGGGGAGCTGGAGCTGACAGAGGGAGCTCAACCCGCTCTCCCTGGATTCAAAACACTGACCTATCTGTCAACAGTCCTGCCAGCACAAGAGTTTAATCACTGTGCCACTGGGGGCTCCTTCAGCAAACCTGCAAATAAACTATCCACTTGGAATGCCATTAAATCTGTTGAAAAGCCCTCTCCCATGTTCCCACCAAACATACTTGAGCGGGTTTGCATTTGTTTTAATAGGAAGCTGCCATTGCAGTTTTTCCTCCCATGTAAATCACAACATCAACAAAATTTAAATCATAATAATAATTAAATATACTGTTTTATCAGCATCTTACATGTATACACACACAAGATGTCAACCACTTTTCAGGTTTGGAGAAACATATCTATAAGGACAGATTGTAAATTTCAGCAGTTGAAAAAAACTACAAATGGCTTCACTATTACTAGGCATGTTATAATGTGAGGTTATAAGCTTTCATACATAGAGCAGGACTTCTTACCCTTTTTCAATATGTAACCCCTTTCGGTCCATTTTTTTAACATGAAAATCAGACATGTCCTGATAACAAATCAACATTTGCAAGACTTGACAAACAGGCTGATTTTCCTTTTTAGGAAGTACAGCTGAAGCATCATTTGCAGAGTCCATATTCTGTAAACACTGTACAACACAGTCACGTAAATGTCAAAAACAGCCACTAGATGATGTGCAAAAAACTTTTACTGTTACCAAATTGTTCATGACCCTAACATGTGTGCTTTTATTCTGTGGTGGTAAAAATGGAAAGAGAAAATGAAATAAAGTTATATTTCAGTGACTTTGGATGCAGTCTGAGAACCAACATAATGTAGTGGTTTAAGTAATGGACTACAATTCTTGAGACCAGAGTTCAAATTCCCACTTACTCAAGATAACCAGCCTTGGGCAGCTCACACTCTCTCAGCCTCAGAGGAGGGCAAAGGCAATCTTCCACTGATCAAATCTTGCAAAGGTAACCCTGTGATAGGGTGTGATAGGTGTAGCTTCCTCATAGGTAAAGGTTTTCCCCTGACATTAAGTTTGGTCGTGTCTGACTCTGGAGGTTGGTGCTCATCTCCATTTTTAAGCTGAAGAGCCAGTGTTGTCTGTAGACACCTCCAAGGTCATGTGGCCAGCATGACTGAATGGAGCACTGTTACCTTCCTGTTGATCTACTTTGCCAGTGCAGGTTATCACCTACAAAGCCCCACATTGTTTGGGACCCACCTACCTTCGTGACCGCATTTCCTTCTGCAAATCTGCAGAATCTCTTCGATCCTCTGGGGAGGCCTTTCTTTCTCTCCCACCTCCATCACAAGCACGGCTTGTGGGGACAAGGGAGAGAGCTTTCTCCATTGTGCCCCCCCCCCCCCGGCTTTGGAACTCGCTACCTAGTGAGATTAGGCAAACCCCCACCCATGTATTTTATTTTGATGTTATTATTTGCTTGTTTGTATTTTATTTTGCTGTATTGTAATTTTGGGCTTGGCTTTGTGTTAGCCACCCAGAGTCCCCTTTGGGGAGATGATGGCAGGGTATATTATTATTATTATTATTATTATTATTATTATTATTATTCACATTTACATGTTTTTGAATTGCTAGGTTGGCAGAAACTGGGCCTAATAGCAGGAGCACATCCCGCTCCCTGGATTCGAACCGCCAACTTTTCAGTCAGCAAGTTCAGCAGCTCAGTGGTGTAACCCACTGCATTACCAGGGGCTTCCTCATAAGGTGCCTTCAAGTCACTAGTTGACATACAGCACCCCCTTAGGGTTTTCTAAGGGAAGGGATACTCAGAAATGGTTTACCAGTTCCTTCCTCTGAACTGTAACCTAAAACACCTGGTATTCATTGGTGGCCTCCCATTCAACTACTAACCAGAACAGACCCTGCTAAGCTTCCAAGATCAAATGGCTTCTGGTATTTTTTATGGGTTGACATAAGTTGGAAATGACTTGAAGGTATACAGTGGCAATGGCACAGTCATTTTAATATCCTAGGACACTCTAATGTTGACATGAATACTTCTGATTTGCAACAAATTAAAAAGAATTGGTTAGTAAAAATACCTACTGTTAGAATTGACCATTCTGTTTATTTTCATACATTTTTCATTTGATTGAACTGTCATGCTGATGTTTCACTGCTGTTTGACTTCAATGTTTATTTTTCCTTACTCTCTGCACACTTGTGTATGTGTGTAGGTATCTGATTATACATATTCCTGCTATCTAAGAGTAATTTTTCATGAATGTGATGAAGTAGACTGAAAGCATTGACTAAGAATTGCAACAGAGTAATATGTCATTGTCAAATACGTCTGTAATCAAATCAAGCCGAGGAGGGGTGGCAGCTTCAGTCTTTATAGGGGCCAATTATCTGCCCTTGCCATTGTTCAAGGGCTGCAGAGATTCTTTGCCGAGGAAGAATAACCTTTTGGTCATTTCTTCCACAATATTCTGGCATCAAGAAGCCTGATCCAGAATATACTGCTTCATTATGCAAGTTTTAACGGCGGTCCTAATAATGTGTGGGGTCATGTGTCAGTCTATTCTGCTTGAAGATGAAACTTTATTTCTCCCTGCAATGGCTATAAGCTAAAGCACACTGGCTCTGCAGAAGATCTTCATTAGCTTCACCTTATTAATATTAATGCCCTGTGAGTTCTGTAGGTAGCTTCTTACTGCAGTGGAATCCTGTGCCAGATTTTACCCTCTCAGCCTCTGAAATGGTTTGCAGTTATCTCACTAGTAGGATAAATCCCACTCTAGCTTTTACAATCACATTTTCAGTGTCCATGACCAGTTCAAACAGGATCACTGCTGGGAACCTAGCATTCCTACTCTATACTCTATATGTGCTCCCTTCCCATCATGTATATTACTCAGAAGGAGCCTTGGAAATTAGATTGGGAGGAAGAACGTGTGAGTGCTGCGCTTGGTGGCTTTTTCAGACTGCGACATATCTGAGTTTCAGGTTTGTGGAGAGAAGAAGCCTATTCTGGGCTTCTGGAGCCATGACATTTTTCATTCATAGTTCTAATTCCAGAGAGGTAGGAATGGTGGATAACAAGGAAATGAAATACATTCAAATATATTCAGCCATGCTGAGTTTCATTCCCCAAATGACAGTAAGTCGATGTCAGATGTCTAATGCCCCTCCTTTGCAATTACCATTACACTCTTTTCTCGTTATCTGTTTCTCATTATAAGCACTCGACTCTTTCACTTCCATTTTTTAAATTGAGGTTGCACTGCCATCAGCCAGGGATGGTTCAGCTATAGATTCCTACACTGGTGGGGTTGGACTAAATTATTTTTGGTGTCACCTTCTAACTCTTATGTTTCTATGATACAATCAGCTTTTGTATCATAGAGCTACAGAAGAGGGGAAGTTTCTCTAGGACAAAGGATTGTTATTCTTGGGCAGAGCCAAGGACCTGGGCATTTACCTGACATCCTTGTCCCCAGCAGGTAGCTCACTTCCTCCCATCACCTCATTTGCAGGACTGCTTTCCTTAACAAAAAGGGAAGAATGGCAGTAGCTGTATGGTCTGGGAGAAATAGGGCTTCTAGCCAGAGGAAATATTTCCCTAGTGTATAATGGAGCAGCAACACAACACTCAAAGAAGTTACCTATGAGGCTGCAAGCCTCAGGACTTTATCATACTACACTGTTATAGCACTATTATGGGTTGAAATTACAGGAAAGGAGATTCCACTTGAACATTAGGAAGAACTTTCTGACTGTAAGAGCCAGGCAGCATGGTGAAAGCACCTTCTTTGGGTGCTTGTAAACAGATGCTGGATGGACATCTGTCAAGAATACTTTATGCTTTTCCTGTATGGCAGGGGGTTGGACTAAATGGCCCATGTGGTCTCTTCTAACTGTATGATTCTATTATTCTACTTTAATAACTGTATGATTCTATTATTCTACTTTAATGCCATGGAACCTGGGCTTGCAGTTGGGAAAGAAGCATTTCAAATTCTCATACAAGAGGGCTCTTGGGCCTCAATGAACTACAAACCATGGAATGACACATAATGTTGCCACAGCAGTTTAAGGGGGATGCTCGTGCTATAATAGTGCAACATGCTAAGGGTATCAGTGACTGTGCTGAATGAATGCTGGGAATTGCAGTCAGCAATGAAAAGAGGAAAGGAAAGGAATGATCCACCCTGAGATATCTCAGCTTTGAAATAGTCTCACTCAGCATCTTCTAATTACCCAGGCCCTACTAAAGATAACAGGGCAGGTCTTCTCCCAAACTGGGAGAAAAGCATGGGGCATGTGTGTCTATATATGTTTCAAGCCTTTAAAATTGTAATTTTCTTAGTTATAGTTTGAAAAACTATTATTGACATATCCCACTTTTGTTTGATTTTTTGTGTTGTTTTTAGGTTCGAGACAAAAAACTCCTCAATGACCTGAATGGTGCTGTTGAAGATGCCAAGACGGCCCGTCTTTTTAACATTACCAGCTCGGCACTAGCCACCTTCTGTATCATTCTGGTCTTCATCTTCCTGCGATATCCTCTTACTGACTACTAGATGGTGGGCCAGAGATCGTTGCCCATCTCTTTCCATGCCAGAAGTGGCCATTGAGTTTCTAATGAAAGGGACATCAACAACAACATCAAAAAGCTACTCACACAAGTTTCTCCACAATGGTAAAAATAAATCGCCAACCCTGCAAAAAAAATTGAAAAAGGCAGTCGGGACTAAACTCATCCCCAATGCACACTTACTTATAGGCTGACTGGTTCACAAACTTCTGTAGCAGAGAGTTTTACTTTTACATTTTTTTACAAAAAATATTTATTTTCATGATAAAGAAACTGGATGGTGAGAGGAAAACTTGACACAGCTCAGTCAATGAAATGCAGTCAAAGGAAAAAAGGAGAGAAGACCGCGAAAACCAATGATCCTGGGAGATGAAGTTTATGCAACCAGGCTGAGTGCTGAAACTAAAAGGATGGGGCAGAAGGTTCTGATGGGTCCAGTCAATCTCCAGATCTTTCTGGGGCCCACAGCGAAGTCACCGTCTCAGAGCTCAAGCGAGGGAATTGGGGAAAATGCTTGCTGCTAAGAGATAGGCATGGCCTTTGCAGAACATATCAGTTGCATTCAGTCTGCTTTCAACTTCTTTCCCTGCTCCGCTCCCCACTCTGTGTTCCCAGTGCACACACCTTTGCTGTATACATTTTGCCAATTTTCGATTTGATTTGACCAAAGCCCAAAATAGCTTGCAAAAATATTAAGAACCAGAACATTTGGATTTTCAGGCAGTTGACACTAGCCTCTCCTTAATGAATCCTGGAGCCTTCTATGGCCAATGCCAGGAAACAAATATTATTAATGGTCCTTTTTGGAACCTCATGGAAATGCTGAGAATGTAGACAGCTTACAGAAAATTTACATAGATCCTGTATTTCTGTCAACCTTCAATAAAAATACCTCTAACCATCAGTCATTGTTTTTACTACAGGTCATGTTTTTGTGTCTAATTCAAACAAACAATGGCTGGACTATTTATTTAACATGCCATTCTTTTCAAGTCCACTAAGTTATTCTATTTATATATTTTAATATAATGGTTAGTGTCAAGGTAAGGTAATTTTTTTCCCCCAGCTTGGCTAGGGATAATAATGTAACTGGGCAATTTACTAAGGATCCATTCGTATTACACAATTATAGCAATGTATTGTATTTTAGGTTATGCCTAAATACCACAAAGGCACCAGATGCAGGCTGATCTTGAAAGCTAAACAGGTTATTACCTGGTTGGGGACTGCCAACATAGCCAGTGGTGAGGAATACTGGGGCTGCAGTCCAACAGTATGAAAGATATTATTATTATTATTATTATTATTATTATTATTATTATTAACTTTATTTGTACCCCGCGAGCATCTCCCGAAGGACTCGATGCGGCTTACACAGGCCGAAGCCACAAAACACAATACAATAGAAAACATAACATAGCAATAACAAAGCAAATCAACAATTAAGCAAAACAGCAATGACAATACATCAAGACATATTAAAACTGGTTCGGCCGGCGTAAAGGGGTACAGGGTTAAAAGTGCTGAAATGGCAGGAGGGGCGTAGGAATTAAAAGTGCGGTGTGCAGCGATGTTAATTGTGCTAAAGTGCTACTAGGACTTGGGATGGGGATTCCTAATCCGAGAAGGCACAACGGAACAGCCAGGTTTTATTCCTTCTGAAAACTGCTAGAGTAGGGGCCTGTCGGAGATCTTTTGGAAGGGCATTCCAAAGTCGGGGGGCCGCCACAGAGAAGGCCCTGTCCCGTGTCCCCCCCAAGCGCGCTTGCGACGTAGGTGGGATCACGAGCAGGGCCTCCCCAGGTGATCGAGGCGAGCGTGTGGGTTCGTAGATGGAGATGCGGTCACGCAGGTAGGGTGGTCCCAAACCGTTTAGGGCTTTGTAGGTGAGCACCTGCACCTTGAATTGGGCTCGGAAAATAAATGGCAGCCAGTGGAGCTCCTTAAACAGAGGGGTAGACCTCTCTTGATAATGAGCTCCAGTTAGCATCCTGGCTGCTGCCCGCTGGACCAATTGCAGTTTCCGAGCCATCTTCAAGGGCAGCCCCACGTAGAGCGCATTGCAGTAATCCATCTAGAGGTGACCAAGGCGTGGACCACCGTGGCCAGATCAGCCTTCACGAGGTATGGTCGCAGTTGGCGCACAAGTCTCAGTTGCGCAAAGGCCCTCCCGGATACCACCGACACCTGAGCCTCAAGTGTGAGCGAAGAATCCAAGAGGACACCCAAACTGCGGACCTGTGGCTTCAGGGGGAGTGTAACCCCGTCCAACACAGGTAACCACCCTATACCCCGATCCGGTTTACGATCGACCAGGAGGACCTCTGTCTTGTCGGGATTGATCTTCAGCTTGTTCCTCCTCATCCAGATCGACACAGGCGGCCAGGCACTCGTCCAGCACCCGAGAAGCCTCCTTGGAATTAGGTGGAAAGGAGTAGTAGAGTTGTGTGTCATCCGCGTAGAGATGACACCCAACTCCAAAACTCCGGATGACCTCTCCCAGCGGTTTCATGTAGATGTTAAAAAGCATGGGCGACAAAATGGAGCCTTGCGGGACCCCACAGGTCAAAGGCCAGGGGTCAGAGCAGGCGTCTCCCAGCTTCACCATCTGAGTTCGTCCCTCCAGGAAGGACTGGAGCCACGACAGGACCGTGCCCCCAAGGCCCATCCCAGAGAGACGACCCAGAAGGATACCATGATCGATGGTATCGAAAGCCGCTGAGATGTCCAAGAGAACCAGCAGAGTCACACTCCCCCTGTCCAGCTCTCTGCGGAGGTCATCCACCAAGGCGACCAAGGCTGTCTCGGTGCCATGACCAGGCCTGAAACCAGACTGTGACTGATCTAGGTAGTTGGTGTCGTCTAGGAAACTCTGGAGCTGGGAGGCGACCACCCGCTCCAGCACCTTACCCAAAAAGGGGAGGTTGGAGATCGGTCTGTAGTTACTCAGCACCGTGGAGTCAAGGGAAGCTTTTTTGAGGAGTGGGCGAACCACAGCCTGTTTCAAATTAGATGGAAAAATTCCTTGCTCCAACGATGCATTGACAATTGGTACAAACCAGTCAAGCAACCCCCCTCTGGCTGATTTAATGAGCCAAGATGGGCATGGGTCTAGAGATGAGGTGGTCGCCCTCACAGCCCCAAGAATCTCCTCAACGGTTTCAGGAAGAACAAGCCTAAAAGAATCCCACAAGATTGGACAAGCAGGTGCCTCCGTCACCTCTTCTGGCACTGCGATGGAATTGGAGTCGAGCTCAAGACGTATCTGGGCGACTTTACCTGCAAAATGGTGTGCGAAATCGCGACACCGAGCTGCAGGGTCATCAGCGACCTCCTCCGCCACAGGTGGGTGGAGGAGTTCTCCCACGACCCGGAACAGCTCCGATGATCTATTTGCTGCAGATGCTATACGGGTGGTCGTGAATGATTTCCTGGCCACCCGTATAGCCACGGAGTAAGCCTTAAGAGAGGCTTTAGCCCGTGCTCGATCAGATACATCTCGAGATTTCCTCCATTTGCACTCTAGCCCCCTTCTCGTATGCTTCATCACAGCCAGCTCCTCGGTGAACCAAGGAGATGGCCTGTCACGACGCAACGAGATGGGACGTTCAGGTGCGATCGTATCTAACGCCCTGGACATCTCCCCATTATAGAGAGCTACCAAGGCGTCGATAGAATCGCCAGGCTCCAGGGCAGGAAGAACCCTAAGATTCCTCAGGAATCCATCCGGATCCATCAGTCTCCTAGGGCGGACCATCTTAATTTGTCCTCCACCCCTGCGGAGGTTTAGGGTCGCAGCAAGTCTAAAAGTGATCAGATGATGGTCAGACCATGACACTGGAAGGATGTTTTGATCTTCCACTCTGATCATTTCGTTGTCCGCCACAAAAACAAGGTCAAGAGTATGTCCAGCTTGATGAGTGGGGCCAGATATTATCTGTGACAGTCCTATGGTCGCCATGGTGGCCATAAAGTCCTGAGCTGCGCCAGATAGAGTGGTCTCAGCGTGGGTGTTAAAGTCTCCCAGCACCACCAGGCGCTGGGAGACCAAGGCCGAATTAGAGACCACCTCCGCTAGCTCAGACAGGGAAGCTGCTGGGTCACGGGGTGGGCGGTACACCAGCAGGAACCCCACACTGTCACGGCTCCCCACTTTCAAGTGGACACATTCGAACCCAGAAGCCTGCGGAACAGCGCATCTGATCACGGCGATGGATTGCCGAAAGACTACTGCGACCCCTCCTCCCCGCCCCCCTTGTCTGGCCTGCTGATGCACACCAAAACCTGGTGGGCACAGCTGAGAGAGGTTTACACAGAAATCCCTGCAGCTCTGCATTCCCAAAGATTGCACCTGGAACCGTCTCTGTGTTGATTGTAGCTCTCTCTAGTATATGCAGGGTGTGGATTAGGTATAACCAACAACCAATAAGAAAGCAGATCGGAATCATCAACAACCATGAGCTGAAAAGCTTAGATGAGAAATAACTTCTTGGAGGTGGTTGTTTGCGGTAGGTTTGCACACATGGCATTTTGGCAAATTCTCACTCACAATCACTTCTTAAATCTTGAGCTGTGGGGCCTCTTATCTGGGGTGTCCTGCTTTGCATTGTAGGGAAGACAGTGTTTGATCATTTAAATTAGTCAATTTTATATTAAAATGTCTGACTCTGGGGGGTGGTGCTCATCTCCATTTGTAAGCCAAAGAGCTGTCTGTAGACATCCCCAAGGTCATGTGGCCAGCATGACTGCATGGAGTGCTGTTACCTTCCCGCCAAAGTGGTACCTATTGATCTACTTACATTTGCATGTTTTCGAATTGCTAGGTTGGCAGAAGCTGGGGCTAACAGTGGGAGCTCACCCCACTCCCAGGATTCGAACTGCTGACCTTTCCATCAGCAAGTTCATCAGCTCAGTGGTTCTGTCAGCAAGTTCAGCAGCTCAGTGGTCAATGTCTCTATATAGGGGGCTCCTATATAGAGACATAGATAAACAGTTTATAGATTTTACTGCATCATCATTGCATATATTTACAAATTAAGGATTGGATCTAGAGTTGTGTTGAGCAAATGTTCATAGAATAAACGATACTGCAAATGAGATGGGGTGAGGTGGCGATTGAATAAAAACTTAGTCTGTCTGGTAGCCCTGGAAGAAATGAGTCTACCAGTATCAACATCCATTTCCTTCTTCTATTGAGGAGGAGATTTTGGGTTCTGGTTTTTCCCACTTAAAGGACTCCTTCCATTTGCGGAGTTTCCAATCTGCACACAGCCAATTGTTTATAAGCATTTCTATCAGCTGTAGCTTCTTCAGCAGACACAAACAAAAAGGATAGAATCAGGCCTGTGTTTGCTTATCACCTGTTTTCTGGGTCACACGGGGGGCTTTCTGAACAGACCGTGTTGAATAGATTGCTGTGCAAATTGTCATGCCGCCCCTGAGTTTTGGAAGTCATTTCCTCGCTCTGAATCTGGTAGATGACAAATACTTTCCATCATGTATTATTAATGTTGCTGTTATCCCTCTATCTTTATTTTAAAAATACCTTCTCTTCCTTTAATGGACCAAATGTGACAGGGAGCTGTGCTTTCACAAACAGAAAGAAATCAGATACATACCAGACAGGCAGAAGCACCAAAGATACTGGCAAATCAGCAGAATGGAGGAACTGTGATGCAACCAGAGAGTGAAGAGATAATAGATAACCATTCTGCCTAGAAAATAATTTTTGAATATTGCTAGTAAAATGCCTTTCCTCCTATTTTGTGCAGTCAGTTGTAATTCTGCAGTTTTATTAGCACACCAAGCAGAGGTGAAGAATATGTGGCTGTTGAAATGGTGCTGGGCTCTCATTCTGATTTCCTCCGGCAATACTGGACAACAGTGAGAAACCGTTCAATTTCT